CAGGCAAAACAAAAACAAACAGGAATTTTTAAGGAGATCTCTTTGCTGCCCATTGTTTACACACTGAGCAAGCGTATACTTTCGTTCAAGCTAGACATTGCCATTGAGCTGATCTTCGAGAACAATGCTTAGAAGTGTCAAATCGCTACCTTCTCTTAGGGTGTTAGCTGCACCAGGACGTTGTGCTGGGTTGCCACACAAGCAAGTGAGACTTGTCCACCAAACCACGAAGAAAGATGCCACCCCTTTGCTCAACTCGAAGAAGTCTGAATTCTCGCTCATGTCTCTGCAGACTTTGAAAGCTGAGTGTCGCAAGCGTGGGCTGAAAGTGTCTGGACGTAAAGCGGAGCTTGTTTCGAGAGTTTCCAACCACGAGGCCTCTTTCTCCACAAGGGACAATGCCAATATGTCAACAATGAATAGACCAGCTTTAAAGACATCCACTGTCACTGCGAAGATGTCCTTCAACAGCAGCTCAAAGGCGCTAGCGAAGGGCGATGACTCTCACATTGATTTCATCAAGCCAGTGGATCTCCGTCCTGAGCCGCTTGTCAGAGATGACTACATTGTCAAGATCCCTTCCATATCCACGGAGGCTTCTAAAAACCCGGTGACTCCACTTGAAAAGGAGCTTCAGGGGTTCGATCTGTCCTCAATCAACTCCACTGTTTTCAGCACTCTCAGTAATACCAAGGTTGTGGGCTCCATGCTTAGCGACTTCCTCCATCTCGAATCAAAGGCCGAGGAAGAGGAGTACGTTGAAAAGCCTTATGAGTACGACAACAGCGAAATTCCAAACAGCGACAAGACCTTCTTTGCAGCCTTTGCCGGTATCACTGCTCTTTGGTTCTTCTTGAAGCCAACAGAGAAGAAAGAACACTAATCTACTTGGTGCTGTACTACAACTTCTATACATGTCATGTTACCATATGTGCCTTCCATTTGAATATATTATCTTGTCTTTTTCCCTAAAGCTGTTCAGCTCATGTAGACCCCCATCCCTGCCAAAGTTGATACCCCAATCATGATTGCAAGCACAGGCCCAAAGCTGATATCGTAGCTCTTCTGCTCCCTGTAACGATGATGGCCATATCTGTGCAAGTTCAACGTTTCGATCTCTTCGGCTTGTAATCCATGCTTGCCGTGGTTCTTGAACCGTTCATGGAACCACTCCCTATCGATCTCCGCTTGCTCCTTGGCTTGCTTCTCGCTTGACACGTTGCCGTTTCGAGAATCAGTCATCTTGCCTCGCCGTTGGTTTATACGCTTGTTGATCATACGCTTCTCAAACCACAGGTTCCCCTTGAGATGTGTGTCGTAGTCAAAGTGTGGTACGTCATTCGTGTGACTGTTGTAGAGGTTAGCGTACGGCGAGTTCGATGCCTTGTAGGCAGCACCAAAATGGACCTTGTTACGTGTCACGTTGATGCCACCAGGCGAGTATACCTTGGTCGCTGGAGCATGGTGCCCGTGATGCATACTGAACTGGCGCGGTTGTACATTCAGTATCGACTTGTCGTACTCCCTCTTCTTTGTCTCGTTGCCCAGCACCTCATAGCTGTGCACAATCATGATATATTTGTTCTTGATCGACTGCTTCTCCTCGTCATCTGTCACCTTGTGATTCATATCCGGGTGGTACTTCTTCGACAGCTTCCTAAAGGCGTCTTTGATCTCCTTGTGCGATGCATTGACGGCTATCCCCAAGATCTCATAGTGTGTCTTCGACTTGGGCGTCGCAGAAGACGCAAACCTCTTGAACAGCATGCCCAACACTAATAAAGCACACTATCTGACAGCACCGCAACCTCGCTCTGAGACGATCCGTGTGGCTTTATATCAACTGTCAAACCGTTGAATTTATCAAATCGCTCAGGGAAAAATGGGTGTTCGAATGATGCAAGTCACAACATTTTGTAGGCGTCTTGCCGTCCTCGGAGAGTGGCCCTTGACGTTGGGTGCTGCACGCGATGCGATGAGCTTGCGCCTACAGAGAAGAGTGTGTGGAAAACAAAACTTTTTATGGCGTAGATTGGAGCCATACACATGCCCTCAGGTTCCAGATCTGATAAGCGTAGGATGTAGAGTCATGTGCTGCCGAGTTTCCGTTTTGCTTGTCATGTTTTAGGGTGTTTTAAAGTGTTTAATAGTCGGCGATTAGAACACAGCACGCCGGAAGCGGAGGTGGGTTCTCACCGTGTTGTATCGCTGGCGTCGTCGTGTAGGTCTTCGTGCTGTCCATCCTGGGTTGGTGCGGCCTCCTGCTCCTGATCTTCGTCGTCGTCGTCGTCATCATCCCTAAAGTCTAGGTGGATCCAGCCTGGCCAACCAAGCTCATCTCGTAGTAGCCCACGCATCATCTCAACAAGGAACTTCTCTACTTTACCCACGTTGCGCAGCACAGAGCCGTCAAGATCGTCTCCAATCTCGCTCTCGATGTGCATACTCCGTATGATATCGATTCGCTTTCCCCTTGATGCTGTTGGGTTCTTCAGTATATCGTCAAACTCGTCGTCATTGACGTCGCAGAGGAAGCTTATATAGACCTGATGGTCAAGGTGTGCAATCACAGCCAACGAGTGGATTCCCAAGTCCACAATCTTTAGTTTCACTGGTAGCTTGATGAAGCCGGGAGATGGGTAGTTCAGCAGGAGGTCCACCTGGAGCTCAATCCACATGTCCCCTTTATACTCCAGCTCAACCAGGAACTGTATTCCCTTGGTTCTCTCGTCTTCCTCGGTAATATGGACGTCATTGGTATCAACCTCGGAGGTGTTCGAGCCCTGGTCGACCCTTCTAGAGCCCACACCAGGCTCGTCACTCGAGAACTCCGGAAAGGGATCCCCAATGTGTCTTATTGTGATATTGGGGGGTATATGTCCCAATGAAAACCTCGTGGCACGGACATTTTGCAAATAGTCGGGCAATTGAACACTCTCAAGCTGTGAGTTCAGAGCATCCACAACAGAATCAACAATCTGTGTGTCATCTGCTAAATTCTCCCATTTGATATCAATTGACATTGTTCCTGTTGC